ACCCAAATGTGACGTTCTAACCTTTTGGTGATTCGGGTGGGAATCTGGTTAGATTTGATATCAGCCTCGTCGTTCCCAACTCGCTTCCAACGCCTGGTTACTAAGGTAACTGCATTGATCTCCAGTCTGCCTACCCAAGTTGTGAATTGATCTTAGACAGACGAGATCAAACAGTGGTTGGGGCTGTAATACAAATTGAGTTCAACGGGGGTGATACTACACAAATATGCATAAAAGAAAAGAAAATGAAAACTCAAAAAGTTCAAAGTATCAAAGAAAAAGGTAACAAACTTTATGTCTAGTTGTTCGATACATAGGACTGCATCTATCTCCCGGACCCGTTCTGTGGATTGTGACACGTCGTTTCCGCTAGGCAAGTTTTAACGCTTCAAGTTGTTTGCTCTCTAAGAAATTGGTGTTTCGGTGTGTCTTTGGACGAAAGTCGAAAAAAAAAAACTTATTTCGGTGGTCTGGTTCTAAGTCGCTCTTCAAAATAATTGTTCTTGGGTTTAAGAGGAGTCCGGAATTTTTTCGTGAATCTTGGTCAGCTATCTCCGAGGCAGTTTCAACTGGAGACTGACTCTGGGAACTCAACTCTGGAAACTCGAGCCCGAACTCTGATTTCTGCCTGTTGGGGCCTCGCTTTTATTGACGCCCACAAAAACCGGGTTGGGTCTGTTGACGTCGGGGGGTTCCTCGATAATTCTAAATACATATCCACCTCTTTTATTTCTGGTTAGGGACTTTCCACTCTTTTCCATTTTTGGGAACCCTTCCTCACTCCCACTTTCTCACCATACCTCTGAGGGCGTGAACTGCCCTCCCCACTTCTTCGTAGCAGCTTCTCATACTTATACTCTGGATGGGGCGTCGACAGCCTTCTTCGTGCGTCACGTGATCACTCTCGGCCAATGAGGTCTTGGTCGGGTATCTTTCCTCCTCCTTCGTGCGTCACGTGATCACCACTTGACCAATGATGTCTTAGTCGGGCGTGAACAATCCGTGGCTTTGTTTCGGGAAAAAAAAAAGTATCTTGCTTAACTAAAAAAAGTTTAATCCCTTCTCTTTCGCTTAAATCGCCGTTATCATTTCTCTAGCCACGGACAATATGACAACTCTTGTTTTACACGTGGTGTTTGTCAGGTATCTTATCGCTAATTCATCAAGATAGGTGGTATTCTTAACATGGCTTCAAAAAAGAAATATCCCCAAAGTTTTCAGTCAGTCTGTCGCCTCCAAAGAAGAAAGAAAAACATTTCTGGTTCCCCATAATTTTATTATCGCCGGCCAAAGTTGTTTCGTCGAAAAGAATTCGGTCAGCGCACTGCTTTTATGGGATTTAATTTTTCATATCTGTCCAAAGTCCTTTTTAGTGGCCTGTTTCTCGTCACTTATCGAAATAGCATTTTCACTTGAATTTTTCCCTGGCCAGTGGTCTAGATAACACAGCCGTTATCAAAACACATCTGGTTACTTCTTTCTTTTCCTTTTCTTTTTTACTCAGTAATTCCCTGTCATTGTAATGAAACCCTTTTTCATTTGTTACTTATCAATATTTTCATTGTCTCTTAGTCGTGTGTGTGTCTGCTTATCACCTATGAATCGTCTCGCATTTCTTTCTGTCTTCTTTTCTTTCTCTTCCTTTCTCTGCCTCGTAAATGGTGCCACACGTGTTTGTGTATTATAATCTGAATGTGTATGTATTGTCTTTTGCAAGATACCATCCTCCCCTGCCCATATCACCACTTCAAATGTATCTAAGATGTAACGAAGTTTTACATCAATATTAGATTTTAACGTTTATTCTGAGTTTTTGGCCTTTCAAATAAAACAAAATAAATAACAAAATATATGTATTTTTTCTTCAGTTTCTTTAAATAATTTTATATTTTAAACTTAATACAGATTAAATTTAAAATTTAAAATTGGTAATTTTTAATTTTCAATTTTATAATAAAAATTAGAATGATTTCTATTTTTGTCTAACCCTAACATTAACGCATTATTATAAACAAGGTTCATTGTCAAGTTTTTGAATTCTCATATACTTGTATTTTGATTGGTCATTGCAGCTTATGTAACAGTGTTTCCCCTATCGAGGGGTGTTTGGTTGATTTGAACCTTTTTAAAACTCTTTATTCTACACCATCACTTGATAAGACACCTGAAGTGTTGAAACACAATGGCTATTTTTGTAGTGATTTTATAGGGGGTCCCCCAGACGAGGATCTGTCGAAGGGCAGAGATTCGTCTCGGGAAACTGACTCCGTTTTTACGTGGTCTCTAGGGAATTTTTGCCCGAGACTACGGGCTCGGATACCCCACTTTAAAACCCGGCTTTGTGCCACATCTTGCTGCGTGGGGCAGCGGGTGAATAATTATAACATATTTATGTTATAATTTTCGAATAAATTATATATATATATATATATATATATATATATATATATATCCTGTAAATGATAAATTTTCTATGCCTTTTCCTCACTAATTATACGTTGATTAATGTATTTCGAACTAAGTATGGGTTTCCTACTTTTTAAATATTTCTTCGTTGGACACATTTTCTTCCGATTGTTTTCTGAACCTGCTCCACTTCAAGTCTCTTATTTATCGGTGTGGAGATTGTCCAGCATTCACTAGCCTATAAAATAGATATTCATTGTCATATTGGAGTATAGACATGATATGATTCAACACTATTTTCCTTATTTCTAAAGAGATTTTCCTATCTTAAGATAGATGGCTTTCAGAAATTAAGCAACATATTAATATTGTCTATATTTCTGAGATGAAGCATTATGTACATTATTTACATTATTCGGTCTATTGTCCTTATCTTTGTCGCCATATTTATCACGTTTCGGCCATTCAGTATCTGTCTATATTTCTGAGATGAGGTATTATGCACACTATTTACATTATTCGGACTATTGTCCTTATCTTTGTCGCCATATTTATTACAACGTTTCGGCCATTCAGTATCTGTCGATATTTCTGAGATGAGGTATTATGTACATTATTTACATTATTCGGACTATTGTCCTCATCTTTGTCGCCATATTTATTACAAGGACACATGGCACAGTGGATAAAGGCGTTGGTTAGATCAAGTGACAGGACCCAAAGAGTGTGAGTTCAATACGTGGTTAAGGCAGTGAAGAACTTTCAGAGGGAAATTAACAGGAGATAACTGACATCCATTAAACATGCCATGTGGAACTAGAACAGTCTACCCCAGTGAGCGAAATAAAGGGCTCAGTTCGACATTCCAACTACCTGAAGAAGGTCGGAGCGTACAACGGCCGAAACGTTGTAATAAATATGACGACAAATATGAGGACAATAGTCCGAATAATGTAAATAATGTATATTAATATTGCTTAATTTCTGGAAGGCTCTTCTACAATTCCAATTTACCTTCAGAATTCCATATCACATTTTCCTTCGTCTGTTACTAAACTTCTAAGATAGTTGAATACTTGTTGTTGCTTGATTTTGGCCTTCTTAGTACATAACCTCAGCAAGATATGATAATATGATAAAAACTATAGTTTTAAGGTATTCAGCAAATTCCCCTTTAGGCATGTCTGATTAAATAAATTACAAACATTATGTCTGCTTACTTTTAGCATAATCCGTTCATGTTCACGGATATTTTTTAAATGATACAAGAAATGCACTGTAACAGTGAAAATCACTTTTATTTCCCAAGTACTTTCCATCTGCTTTAGAGATCATTATCATAGGCGACAGTAATATAAAAGTAGATATTGAGGTACGTCAACACCCAATGGTGATCTTCAGGCCATCCGGAATAGGCTCCTAGATGGCCTGAAAATTGCCTTTAACCGCTGACATCGCTGGGTGTTAAACTCAGTGTCCCCTTTTATAATTTATATTTACATACGCTCTATACCTGATATTGAGCACTTTAATCTTAAATATAGTATACCTTAAAATTATATTTTATCATATAGATATAGCATAGCTTAAAACTATATTTTTCTTATATATATATATATATATATATATATATATATATATATATATATATATTCTACATTCAACACCATCAGTTGATAAGACACCAGAAGTGTAGAAACAAAATGGCTATTTTTGTAGTGATTTTATAACATATTTATGTTATAATTTTCGAATAAATAATTATATTTGCTCTACTCTGTATTGAGCACTCTTTTAAGAATAGTATTTGTTGGTTAATGGAATTTATTCCGTATACACCAATCCTATACTTGGATATATATATATATATATATATATATATATATATATATATATATATATTATAATCTTTTTCATATAAAAAAACACAATTTACTCACTACAAAGATGCAACCTTGTTTAAGTGCATTTAGTTGCACCTCAACTGGTGAGAACCAAAATAAATAATTATTGCTCTACTATCGGTATTGAGTCCTCTTTTGAATTAATGCTGTGAACGTTAGAATTTATATATTATTTTCGGCCTCATTACATTCGATATATATATATATATATATATATATATATATATATATATATATATATAAATATAAGGACAGTAAAGTCGTGCTTAAAAATATATCATGACGTTACCTTATATAAAAATAAATAAGTAGTAAGTAATGGCGTGAGGTTGGGGCTTATATTTCAGAGTTTTATTTTACCGAACTGCATGAAGGATCCCCACCGACCTGGCAGCCTGTGAACCTTTCCGCCATCTCTGCTTTTCACTGATATTTTTTTAATTCTATACCCTGCGGTAAATTTTGATCTATATATGAACATGTAAATGCGCTTCAGCTTCTGCCTTCCACCTTCGACATGAAACTCCGCCCATTCTACTCCTCCCCTACACCCTCCCCCAACCCGCCTATTATAATGGTTACACTCATCATCATTATTAATAACTGGTTTTAGGGGCACCATTTAAGTGTGTGCTTGGTACGTATAAATATATGCATATAATTATGACAATATATTCGCTGAAGGACACTATGCATCTATCTATCTCTAATTCACTCACTCACGCACATTATCTATCTATCTATCTATCTATCTATCTATCTATCTATCTATTTCACTCTGTTCATATCTATGTTCCCGTTTACATCAAAATGATTATATCTATTTATTGAGAAATCGATCTATCTGGCTTTCTTTCATTCTATTTGCTGCTGTTCGTATCTATCTATTAATCTTTATATTTTTATATATTCAAATCAATTCCGTATCATCCCTATATCGTCTATTCATATCTATCTATTTAAACTGTTCATATCTATCTCAACTGTCAATATCTATCTATCTATCTATCTATCTATCTATCTATCTCAACTTTTTATATCTATCTCAACTGTTTCTATCTATTTATCTATCTATATCAACTGTTCATATGTATCTCAACTGTTCATATTTATCTCAACTTTTTATGTCTATCTATCTATCTATCTATCTCAACTGTTCATATTTATCTCAACTGTTTATATCTATCTATCTGTGGATTAATTGGCCATGGTTAAGTGTAATTAACAAAATTCCCAACAAAAGAAATTGACAACGTTCTCAATGAACAATAAGAAAAAGAACAGAGCAGAAAATTATTAAGCAAACAACATACATTTGCAAATCAAAATTAGGCAAAACCACAGTAATAAGGCAAAATATTCACAAAGTTAAGAATTGTGTTAATCCCCAAAAGGGTTTGTAACTTTCTGACTTCAAAATAAGAAATAAAAAATATAGCAGATTGTATCAAGAATTGGTTTATTTTTATTAATTAAGAAGAAATCTGTCAACCTTGGCCCACATTTGTTCCGATTTGTAGTTCTGTCTGCTATTGCTGCTCTTACAATGGCGTATATTACGTGTGGTCGTGTCATCTGTTTGCACTCAACTCTCATTTAACTGAATCGTATAGCAGGATGTCTCCTGTATGAATGTTACTAGATCCCATGATGGCGAAACACTTTGAAACTTTTATTATGCTATTTACTACATGTTACAGTTAAAAATATCTCTCGTCTATCAAAATTTGCAATTTTAGTGTATGACAATATACACGGTATGCGTCAAAAGCTTTTCGGACATCGCTGGACTCAATTATCGATATGCTTTTTATTTTATATATATATATATATATATATAGTTTATATATATTTCTGTAGTTTAGTGCTACCAGCAAGCAGAAATATTTGTCCTCCTAATGATGGCCATTTCGGTCGAAACTAGTCGAGGAATCTAAATGGAATAATAATAAAAAAAACGAAAGAATATTAATCTACAACCCAGTGTGTCTAAAGATTTTAATTTTTTATTTTCTTATTGTTATATATATATATATATATATATATATATATATATATATATATATATATATATATATATTAGTGTATCGAAAATATCAAATTATTGAAATTGAAAAATGTCGAAAGATTTTTTTGGTGTAAACTTAAAAACTCTTTGTTCAATTTTTTTTCAGCAATGGAAAGTATCATTTCATGCCTCTTGCTACGTTTGTCCCGCGAAAATTGTTTGACGGACTCATTCGAGTCTCCGTAAAAAAGGGACACAAAACATGGAATTCAAACAAACTATAATTAATAAATGTATTAACAAAACATGTTACAGAAGGATATAAAAAACGAAGTGGGAGTGATGAACAGTTCAATACAATCTTCAGTCTGTGTCTCTGACATAATTACATGCTTCGTGTCTATTGGAGTGAAACGGAATGTGTCTTGCAGCTCTAAAAGTCAAAAGGGAAAGAGGATGAACCATTCAAATATAGCGCCGACTGGGATTATCGTCAGGGGGCGGTAATCCATCGTCTTTGACTAAAATCACAGTTTTGTTTTACGCATGCTGAAACTTGCGTATTTCGGCAATCGTAAAAATTGTATAACTTTTAAACTAAACAACATAAAAAGAAAAATAATTACGTTTTTTCATAAATAAATATTTTTAAGATTAAAGAGTATCTTGACTCTACCCCAGGAAAAAACAACAACAAAATTGCTCAAAAAAGCGACTTTTGGTGATTCTGTTTTTATTTATTCCCCAGGTGACTCTACTGGAGATTCTGCCATATAACTTGATGGAATTATATCATATCTGATTTATTTCAGCCATATTTTACATCAATTACAAACAAATTTGACGTAAGGAAAAAGAAAAAAAAGAAAATCATGGAAAAAATTTATTCCATCCAATAATGAAATAGATTTATTTACATATAAATTTCATATTTACATGCAATATTTACATTATATTACATAATATTTATATAAAACATAATATTTAATATTTATGTAATACGTTTATATGTAATATTTATGATAATATGTAATTTTTCATATGTAATATTTATGTAATACATATTTTATATAATATTTACATATAATATTAACATAAATTTGAAATTTATATGTAAATTTATTTACATATAAAATTCCTTTACAATAGTTAATAATAAATTTGTGTGTAACAAAAAAGAATAATATATATATATATATATAGATGTATGTATGTATATATATATATACATGTGTGTGTGTGTGTAAGAATTCAGATATAAATAAAAATATATCTGTATAAAGAGACAATATGAATAAAAAAAAAGGAAAACATTTTTGTGCCGACTCGTTTTATCTTGATTTTATCATTTTTATCTTGATAAAATCCATCAGCGGGCGTTTCTGCTTTTTAGTAGCAGTGAACTACAGATATATCTCTATCTATAAAAGGCAGGATGTGTGTGTGTGTTTGTAACGAATGCACGGCCGCAATTTTCGACGGATTTGCACCAAAATTTACATACGCATGCTCCAAGACCGACGTTGCATTTCCCATCCCCCATCGATAGTGGAAATAATCGATTTTTTCATGCTTCTACGACAGTTTTCATGTAGTTTGCGGCCATTTTGTACTGGCCAGAGTGAGAACCAATAGCTGGCTGCCACGAATAGGCAGGAAGATTCTATTGGCCAGCGTGAGAGCCAACTGCTGACTAACACAAATGTTAACTAGCATGCTAGCATGCAAAAAAGAAAAAAAATCGATAGCGGCATTCGTCACAAGTGGGAAAAATTTAAATCTGCATGGCACTTTACTCCAATTGGCTCATTCGCTTGCTTAAACTCAACGTTGATTCTGATTTCGCAGAACTGGGTTGGGTGTGAAAAAGTATTTGTTGTTAACATTCTTTTTTCATTCGTTTTTTTCCAGTTACGAGTCCTTTTTTTTTAAAGCTGATCGTTTTGTGTTCATTTTGTTTAGTTCTTTTTTCGTAACAGATTTTATGTTTAGTACAGAGCTTAGAAAAAATTCGCAGTGTGAGATAGTCAAGAAGTAAGGCATGTAGCAACATCAGCACAGCAAAGGGCACTCCTTTAAAGGCAAGGAAGGGCAAAAATATTTTAAGTCAAGTGATAGCGATTGCTATTTGATTCGTACGATTTTTGAATGAAGCACGGGCAACGCCGGGCCATGCTGCTAGTATATATATATATATATATATATATTATAAATTAATTGATTTAAAATATGGTTATTTTCGCTACACAGTTCAACCATGTTTCAAAAATAGAAGCTAAAACCCTAATTTTATTTTTGCAAATAAATTAAAAGCATTAGTTCCATTTCATCTTCAAGCGAATTTTTGAGTAACTTTTAAAATTTACCGGGTTTTAAATACACAGCTAAAATCACGTTTCCATGGTTACAGAATATTCTACTCAAATTGAACACGGGTGTCTAGATTTTCCTTATGACAGTATCATTGTATCAGTTATTAGCTACATTTTGGTAAGGGGTGAGGATGTATTTTACTCTGAAACCTGACGTCGGTTGAATGGATGTCGTCTGAATTTAAAAAAAAAAAAAAAAAAATTGTTAACGGTAAAAAATTTTCAACGTCATCTTTTAAAATTAAAGATTTTTTTACAATACTTTTATTTAACTACGATTTGAAATATTTTCCTTTTTAATTTTTATTTTACTATATTCTTTTTAAGAACAGTTAAATGTATTAGAATCCATTATATTATGTAGGATTATTTTAACATTAAGTTTAAGTATGTATATGAGGTTACATTTTTTTTTTTTTTTGTATATGACTATGACAGTAGAAATGGTTACTTAATTTCACTGATTCAGTAAACTTTTCTTTTATATATAAACCTATTATTATAATATTTCACATGTAAGTACTGAGGACATGGGTCATTCAAAAGCTTACATGTTATGGTATTTCATATTAATTTTATTTTACTATAGGTGTTATTTTGGATTCTTTTTAATGCGTGTAGTATTATTTAAAAGAAATTTAGGTGAGAATTCATTCAATTTAACTACAATTTTAATTACAAATTCAAAATTACAACTTTAAAATTTTAAAATATTTTCATTGTTTAGTTTTAATAGACTATATTACTTTATAACAGAAGGAAAATTACTCATATTAAGTAAGATTATTTTTCCATATCAAAGTATATGTAAATTTTTTTTTTTTTTTTTTTTTTTTTTTAAATATTATTTAAGTAATATTAATGGCACTTACTACAAAACTAGCTAAGTCATTTCTCAGATTTAGTAAACTTTATTTATTTATTAATTAATTAATTTATTTATTTCAAATATATGTAACCTAATTAATAAAGTTTCATATGTATGTATAAATAACATGTTAGAATTCATTTTATTTTACTACAATTTTAATTTCAATTTTAAAATTATAACTTTAAAATTTTAAAATATTTTCATTGTTAGTTTTAATTTAGACTATATTACTTTATAACAGAAGGATAATTACTCATAGTAAGTAAAAATTTTTTTTCATATCAAAGTATATGTAAATTACAATTTTTAAACTTTTAATTTAGATATTATTTAAGTAATATTAATGGCCCAGACCACAATACTTTCTATGTCATTTCTCAGAATTAGTAAACTTTATGTATTAATTCAAGTTTAAGTATGTATATGAGGTAACATTTTTTTTTTTTTTTTTTTTTTTTATATATATATAAACCTAGTGATATAATGTTTCTCATGTAAGTACAAAGGACATGGGTCATTCAAAAGCTTACATCTTATGGCATTACATATTAATTTTATTTTACTATATTTGCTTTTTTGGGATTCTTTTTAGTGCGTGTAGTATTATTTAAAAGAAATTTAGGTTAGAATTCATTCAATTTAACTTTAATTTTAGTTTCAATTTTAAAATTACAAACTTTAAACTTTTGAAATATTTTTTCATTGTTAGTTATATTAGACTATATTACTTTATAACAGAAGGAATATTACTCATAGTAAGTAAAATTATTTTTCAATATCCAAGTATATGTAAATTACAATTTTTAAACCTTTATATTTTAAAATATTATTTTAGTAATATTAATGGAACTTACTACAAAATTAGCCAAGTCATTTCTCGGATTTAGTAAACTTTATTTATTACTTAATTTATTTATTTATTTTAAATATATGTAACCTAAGTAGTAAAG